AAAACTAGTTATTCTCATACAAGTTAGATACACCAAGTGTCCATAGATCACATGAATGCAGGCCCCTCTCCTAAGCACTACAAGTCTAGGGAGCCTCTGGGGCAGTGTTGTGTATAGCTCAGTGCGAAGGGTACCCCAGAGCTGTACAGCTGAGCAGCCCTGTTAAGTTCTCTACAATGTGAAGAAACAGAATGTGGAATTGCAAACATAAAAGGATTCACAATTGTGTACAACATTACTATGCACAGATAAGACTGGAACTGAAGTGTCGGCATTCATCTTTGGTGGTGAAACTGAGGCAAATTTACTTCATTCTATTTCTGGGCATTTCCCAATACAGTTAAATTTATATAGCAGAAAATTAAAAAATAATTAATTTAAAATAATATAAATAATCCTGAGATTTTCCTTCTTTTAGGGAAAACAGTTACTTGCAAGAAGGTGTCTTAGTAACATTGTTGGGTTATTCAAAGTAGTTGAGGGTTTCTTTTCTCCATGCTCTTGTAGGGCTCAGTTTTGGCATGTGTACATGGTGTAAACATCTACTTCCCTGGGGCTCATGAGCTCCATTGTTTAGTAAATGCTCATTTTAGCAGCTGCCAGATGGAGGCTCCCCTGGCAGCTGCTCCTTTGCTGGCACCTGTGGATTGAGGGAATAGTTTCCCTCCTTTTGTTCTGCAGTCCAGTTCCCAGCAGGATGATGGGCTTTCAGTGACTTGCCCAGCCGGCTCCTCCCCAGGGAGGCTGGCTTTTCTTTCCTAGTCTTCCTCCATCCTTTCCTGACCCTAAGGTGCCTCTGGCCCCACCTTCCAGCTCCCCACAAGCCTCCCGCTCAGAGAGAGATGAGACTGGAATGCCTGGGTACCCCTTGGTGACTGGACTTTCCCAGCAGCTGCCCAGTCCTTCTCCAGTGGCCATGCCAAGTAGGCTGGGCATCTGGTATTTCCCCTAGAGAAGTTGCTGGCAGCAGAAGGAGGCAGAATGTTGACTTAGCCCCAGAGATAGAAACACTGTGTGGCACCTAAGTGGTGCCTTTTGCTCTTCAGATGTCCACGAGGCCCGTTCCCTGTTTCTCTCTACTGTTCCTTTCTGTCCTCTAAATGATCATGGTGATGTTGCTAATGTTGGGGTCAGGGGACAGCTCCAGGGTGGTCTGCCCTCCTGATTTAGCCTTACACATCCTTAGATTGCATGAGGGCAGTGGAAGCCCACCTTGGCAGATGCTAGGTCTTCTGCTGGTGAGGCCAAGTTGGACAGGGTGGGGGTGGGGGCAGTGGGGCCAGATGATTTTTATTTTGGACAGAGGTTGGAGGAGATACTCTGACTGGAAGGTTGGTGGGTTGCTTGCCTTAATTGAAAAGAGAAAGTGAAATGAAACTCAAACATGGAAGAAATGTGCAGGGACCCTGCAGGCAAAGAACTCTGTGGTCACTGTGTACAAGTTGTTTCTTGTTGGACATCAAGGCTCTGAGGTGCAAAAATGTGGCTCCTCTTGTCCTGAGGCCACTCTTGTTCCAAACCTATGACGCGAGCCAAGCCTGTTCCAGAGCTAAGGTAAGAGTGAAATGGCATTTTCTTCTTCAAAGTCCAAGGCCAGGCAGTCTTTGGAAAGAAAGTAGAACCATAAGCTATTAAGCTCTTTGGCCCTGTTTTGCCCCTGAGTAAACCAGACCCTCAAGAAGGGCTCTGTGTTCTCCATAGACTAAAAATTGTCTCTGGGTCTCTTGCCATTTGCTCTTCAAGTATGAAAAGAATTAGTGAATCATTCTGCTAACTCCTTTCACCTTGCTCTGGTCCAGGAAGTAAGGTCACTTTGTGGTGATTTGGATAGTGGCAGGGCATGCTCACATTTTAAAATTAAAAATAAAAATTATTTGGAAACAGGAAATAATGTTTTACTACCTGTGGATATGCAGAGGTGGGTATGGTGCTCACTATTCATTTCTTGGCCCAGGAAACCAGGCTGGTGAGAGGCTTTGGCTAGAACAGGCCACCTTCTCCTCCAGGTGGTTCAGGTGCTTTCCTGGCCTTCCCGGTGATCCTCAGAGGACACTTCTGGAATAAGTGTTAGCCTCAAAGTAGCTGGCTAATTAGAGATATGTGTTTCTACTCGACCTGGCTCAGCATTTGACCATGACCTCTGACCTCTCAGAGCCCCATCTGTCCTGCTCTGAATCATCACATTAAATTGGTAGTCAAGCCCTGCTCTTTGACTGTCATCAACCTCTCCCTCCCAGTTAAACCTCAGCTTAGGTAGGCATTGCGCTCTTCCCCCCCCTCTTCATTCCCCAGCTGCCCTTAGGGCAAGAGTTCTCAAAGCAGTTATAATACTCTCTGCCTTCATTCTTTGTTGCCTCCATTCTCCCTTCTGTGGTGATGTGTGTTCCACCCCAGGGAGCACTATTTGCATGGAGCATAGTGACGGGTGCTCCCGAGAGTGGGGCATCGCAGGGACTCTGGCTTAACCACAGCAACCATGCAGTGGGAGGATTTCAGGCTCCCAGGCAGGCCTAGGGTCCTCTCAAAGGAGGGAGTAGGTCCCTTTTGTGTCCTGCATTCTGCTTTTCACTTTCTTTGGTTTCCACAGGACACCAATGTTCAATTAACCATCTAGCAGGGCAGGTGATTTCTGGTGCACAGCCCCCAGCATGCCTGTTCCTATGTGTCCACAAAATTGTGAAAAGCACTTCTCCCTAAACAGGTAGATGAACTAAGAAATTATCCATACCTCATACTTAATCAACCATCAAGTTACAGTTAAGCAGAATCAGGTAAGACATAATTTCAGAAAGAACTAACAACTACAAACTCCACTAGCTTCAAAATATGAACTACTTAGGAGCCAGTGCCTTTTCTAAACTTATTTCTGCAGTGTAAGTCTACATGTTACTGTCAACTCAACTTCTTGAATGCCACCATTATATTTTTTAATCCTCACCTGAGGATATGTTACTGAACAGCACGTTGGTGTCCTTCTGCCCGCTGCCACTCTCTAGGCAACATTCTAGAGGCAAAAGTTTGGTGATAAAGGAAAGTAGTCTTTATTCAAAACCCTTACAATCTTTAAATAACACCTTTCACAAGAATTAGTCACATAGGCCTATCAATTAAGGCTAAACTCTTAACACCTGGGTTCTCCTATCATTTCCCCCTATTTTTAGTTATCTTATTTCTTTAGGGTTAGTTTACAAACTAAAACAATTTAAGATACAAAAGTTACACAATTTTGGGAGACTAGCAAGCTTCTGCCTCAGAGCTGGTCCCCTGTACAACACCCAGAGAATAAACCTGCCACCCTCTGCCAGTCCAACCCTAGGCTGAGCCTGGATGGAGTTCCTTCACATCCAAAATACTGTCCATTGGAAAATGCAGGCAGCTGTAGCACGATCATCCAGGCACCCTGGAGGAAGAAGAGACCGAGCCTCAAAAAACCAGCCCAAGAGCTTCTGAGCCAGAGAGCTAGCCCTCTTTTATTTCAAATCTTCTAGCCCATAATTCCATGCACTCTGGAGGCATTCAATTTCTCAGTCAATCCTATCCTAGACTGTTTACCATTGCCTCCTCCTACGGCCCTTCCCTACTTCTCTCCAGTAATCTGATCAGATTTCTCTGTATCAGATATGCTTATTGATTTGAGAGAGAGAGAGAGAGAGAGAGAGAGAGAAACATCAATGGGTTGGTGTACAGAATAACGCTCCAACTAATTGAGCCACCCAGCCAGGGCTCTAACGTTAGTTTTTTATATGTGGGAGGCTACCTTGCAGGGACATTTCTAAATAGTTTTTACCTATTGTCAGGTCTAGATGTCATATACTGTTCAGTCAGTTAACATATAAGACTGCCCAGCTCTGGCTCCACAGTGTGATATTTGGGCTCCTTCCCATCATGAGCTACATGCCACAGCCCTTAGGCAAAGGAAGGATTTTTGTTATGTTTGCTTAATAATTTTCTCAGAATAAATTCCTTAAATGGCTTTATATTAATTTCCAGGTCACTTTAGCAGCTTGTCAGTAATGCTTCATCATAGAAAACTGTTCACCTAAAAATAAAAGGGAGAGGCAAACAAGTGTTTACAAGTATCGAATTAGGCAGAAGCCCAAACAGTAGACAAAGCAAGGGGTACTTATGAGAAGGGGAAGGGAAACCATTACATCAATAGAAGGAAGGCATTTCTATAGGTGCAGGTAAGCTAACATAGTGACTCTAATTCCAAACAGTGTTTTTAATTTTCAGTCCAGTAGTAATAATAATTTTCTTTCTATCTTTACTAACAATTTTCTGAGACACAAGGTTGCTTTAGTCCCAGTCCAAAGGTTATTTTGTCCAGTTTTTAACATTCCAAAGGTTTGAGACATAAGACAGGCAAAGCAGTTGCTCTGGGATGGCTGCTCCAGCTCCACGTTAAAGTAACCCCATTTATATGTATTAATGTTTACAAAATACTTGGTTCTCTACATCACCAGGGTTTTTGTTTTTGTTTTCCATCACGAAGTTCCTTTTGTAGGTGAGAGCCTTGCTCACAGACTTAGGTGAAATGGTTCCTACCCTGGGAGGGCACTGACCAGGTACCTAAGTATGCGGAGACAGGTTCAGGACTCAAGGGACCTTGGCCTCGGGGCTGGGGGGTGGGGGTGGCGGATAGGGTGGACTGGGAGAAAATGCCCAGAAAGGAGTCTGAGGAATAAAGGCTTTAAGGTGACCTCCAGTCCTGCTCTCAGTGGAGAGTTGGGGCTCAGAGGCCAGCAGGAGCTGCTGCCAGCACCGCTCTCCTATAGCCCCCATTCACCCCCCCCCCCCCCCGCAAATGCCGGCAATCCAGAGCCTCCAGGACAGCGGAAGGGAGCGCCGGGCGCGGCGTCTCCGCGGAGCTTAGGGACTTGTTCCAGTTTAACTTCACTCCCTTTAAAAGGAAAGCTATGCCCGGAATTCAGGAGGCGGCAAACGAAGCCCCCGGGGGGGAGGACGTGACCCACAAGCTCCAGGCAAAGCTCTGTATCCCAGAGCCCGGACTTCGCGGAGAAAGTCCCCTCCGCCCCGACGCCTGTCTTCCCGAACCAAACCCAGTGCAGCGGGCTGCCGCGCCCAGCGCCCCCTTCGCACCCCTGCCTGCACTACCCTCCGCCGCGCCCCCCTCGCATCCGCGCTTTCACTCCCCTCACAACAGCCCAGCCTGCACTTCCCGCCCCTACGGCCGGCAGTGCCCCGCCGAAGGCCCACTGCATTGGGGGCCGTGCCGCGCTGCGCCTTTTTTGGGCGTCTCCCAGCTGCCAAGACCCGTAGGCAAAAGCTCCGCGGCGGCGGCGGCGACGGTGGCGACGGTGACGACGAGCAGGCTCAGAACGTGGCCACGATGACAGGAAGGTAACAACCCCATCCACGCCGTGACCGAGGGCGTCTGTGTGGGCCACTCAGCCTCGCTGGCTCCCCGGGCAGCCGCGCCCGCCGACGTGCGGCAGCGGCCGGTGGGTCTTCTGCCCACCCCACCACCTCCCTCTGCAAGGTGGGGCTCGATACCCCTTAGCTAGCGGAGGGCCAGGGCTCAAAGGGGCCAGGGGACTTGCCCAGGGTCTCCTACCAACAAAAGGGCGTCCAGCTTCCCTGACCACCCCTCCTCCACCCCACCCCCTGCACCCCTCCCTGTGATCTTGGGTGAGGTCTCCACTCTGGAGCCTTCTGCCTCCTCCTCTGTAAGCCAAGAGTGCTGAGAATGTTTAAAATGATAAAGGGTCTATGTGGAGGCCTGGCCAGAACTGTGCCCAAGTACAAGCTGCATGGGTGGAATAGGGGCAGGAACTCCCCCAGGCCTGGCCAGCTTCACTTTCAGGCCCCTTATTGCCGTTTTGCAGAGGGCGTAACAGCCAACAGAGACTCAGTGACTTATGAGGCTGGTGACATGTTCACCAATGCCTGGCAAGTGTTGGTCTCTACATTCCTTTCTGGAGCATGGGAGAGTTCAAGTGCATGACTCAAGCCTTGTCAGGAGGATGCTCTTATTTATGACCTCTTGACTTGGGGCGTGTGGCAGAGGAGACTCTCTGGCTTTGCTGGGAAATGAGGCTTGGGGAGGTAGTGCCCAGGAATGTGAAGCAGCCTCAAAGGGCAGGACAGGGCCCCAAACCTGTCTGATGTTTGGGGCAGTCACCCAGCCTGCAGGGGCACCCTGCCTCTGATTACTATTAAGGCTGTGGCCCTGAGTCTTGGGGCAGCCCAGGAATTCAAAATAGCACATGTACTGTCATATAGCAGTCCTGTACTTCAGATGTAGTTTGCTGTCCACTACCCTGTCCTCCTATCCCAGGTCTGCTGACAAAACCACCTTTCAGTGCTCACCCTCCTAGTGTGCTTTTGAGGCTCCTGCCCTCCCGTCCTGCACAGGGACTGCCTGCCAGCTGCCTGGTCCCCCACTCCAACCCCTAGAACTTTGGAGGAAAAGGGAGTGACACAGGGACAGAACCTGGAGCAGCTCAGACCAGTGGGGCTGGGCTGCTTGAGGGGTGGTTACTCATGTCCATCAAATAAGGCAGGGCCACACACTGCCAGCTTCTGCCCTGACACTCTTCAGGGAGGCGCCTCAGAGATGTTCCCTCAGCAGGGATCCTCTCACCCCTGAATCCTCTGGGCTTTTTATGGAGATGGAAGACATCAGATCAGCCTCCTGACTGCCCATCAAGAGAAGCCGGGAAGGCTGGCAGGTGGTGGGCGCAGGGCCCAGCCTGCTCTGGCTCCTGCCAGGATCCAGTGGGTGCCTTGAGCCTGAGAAATGCTGGTCATGAAATGACAGAGACCAGAGTCAACCTTGAAAACACTGAGTTGGGTTTTTCCTTGTAAAAGCAACACTATTCATCTTAGAGAGCTAGGAAAATCCAGAAACATGAAAGATAACAATTGTAAAAGGAAAGAAAACACAAATGATTTCAGTCCTCAGAGATGCTCTTAGGAACATTTTGGTGGATTTCTTTTTTTCTGGTGGTATATTTCCCCGGTCATCTGTTTTTCCCAACAATGAGTGGTCTGCGAGCATAAGTTTATGTCCTCCTTTGCAGGGTCAGTGTCAGGACTGCCTTTCTTCCCCTTCACACACAGGCATGGCGTCAGGCTGGCTGAGGAGTGGGCTGTGGGGGAGTCTGACCTGTGAAGTCCCCAGATTCACCGATGGAAGAATTGTTCCAGGCACTGGTTGCCTGTTAAGGAAAGGGGATGGCGATTTCTTCTAGTGGAGAGTGCCCTGAGCCCCCTGGGCTCAATGGCTTTTATTGAAAGGGTTACCAGTGGGGGATCGGTAGCAGGAATGTATAAGCAATCTAATTACACCCGTATCTTAATTTTACAGAGAGTGTAAAATTTTACAGAGAGTGGGTGATGTTTGAAGAAGGCAAATGGCAGGAACACACTGATTTGCTTGGGTCGGAGAGGAGTAAACATTAAGAGCGCCAAATGGTTTAGGGTCAGGGTTCATGAATAAGGTAAATTTCCTTCCCAGCGTGAGCCAGTTATCTGGTGTGAGAATAACAGAGCAGGAGGGAGAAACAAAGCATGCTTCAAGGGAGTGTAATCTACTTCTAGGACTGATTTCCCCCAGTGGCCGGTGACCGGTGGCCAGCTATCAGAGCTATTATTGGGTCCTGCCTGTCAACTGCATTACCAGTTTTCTGGCCAAGACTAATGGAGCCTCTCCCAGGCCCCCGCTTGCGGGGGCCTGCAGTCCCTGATACCACTCAAAGCGGCCCCCAACAATGGACATCTGATCCAACCTGCAGGGCGGGCAAGATTTTCCCTGTTTCATTCTTTGTCATGTCACACTGTTCTCTCCATGTCCACTGCACTCATAAGTTACGAGGGCAGCTCTCCTGCCTGAAACCTGGTTCTCCGCACATCATCCCTTGCTGCCTAGATCCAGGAGGACCTTTGGAAACAGCCCTTTCATTGTATACCTCATACCCCTCAGGGGCTTTCCCAGCCGACTGTGTGAAGTCCCAGGTCCACGTAGATGGAGGAGGCAAGACCAGAGGGAGGACTGTGGGGAGCCACTAAAGTGATGTGCACGGTTATGCACTTTGGAAATTTACCTCTTGGTGCTGTGTAGAGAAAGGAAGAGATGGGGAAAGAGATGGGCCAGGAGGCAAACCTGAAGGGAGGCCACTCCTTTGGCAGTGTGAATAAAAAAGAAGTTCTGTAATAAATCTGACAAGCTCAGTGACTGAAAGTAACCTCCCAGGGCAATCTGATCATAAATTCCTAACTGGGCAGGTCATGGTGGGCAGTCACGCCGTGGGAATATAGCTTCTTTAGTGAAAGGCTTATCTGAGCATCTAGGTTTACACACCTTTGAAATGCCTCATTTTCAGAACCCTCAGAAGCATAACCACCCGCTAGAGAACGCATAACCTTGTTAACTACCCTGTAACCCAGTCCCCAACTTGCTTTTTCTCACCTGCATGTAATCTTCCTTACATTCTCTCCTTAATTCTGAATGAATAAAACCGCAAACTTGCATTCTGGGACACTGAAAACTGTCATTTTCTTTCTGTTGAGATCTTGCTTTCAGATGTATTCTCTGTTTGGCTCAAATAAACTCTAATAAAATCATATATTTTTCTATAGGGTTGAATGTTCTTATGTTGACAGTAGCCATGATATAGAGAAAGGAGGGACTCAGGGATCTGGGAGGTGGCATGGACAGGACTTGATCAAGAGGCATGCCCAGCTGGTTGTGGCAAGTGTGGAAATGGACAGAGAACTAGGTAAGGCCATGAGGCATTTGAGGAGTTGTGGCTAGTCAAAGGGGAACACTGGGAGGCAGCTGGATAAGAGGTTCTGAGGCTGGGTGTGGCCTGTGCTGTGGGGTACAAGGACGAATGAGGCCTTGAGCATGGGTGTGTTTGTTTAGAGACGGGTTGGTTCTGGGAAAATGAGCTCAGCACTGAACAGCAGCCCAGTGAATTTGGACCTTACAAATCCCTGAATCTTTGTCCCAGCTGAAGGGCCCTTTGCCACCACCGCTGTTCTACAGGCAGGTCATTAAAGCCTAGGCGGGTTATATACCCTGCCCAGGGACCCAGCCTGTCAGTGGCACTCTCTACCACCATGGTGCTCTTAGCCCTTTCCTGCCTTCCTTGGGAGTAAGCATAGTGGCCCCCTTGGGAGAGGAGCCTACCAAGGTGCATCTAGGGTGGCAGCCAGAGCCCTCAGCACAGCACATGGGGCTGTGATGGAGTCAGGGGTTTAAGCGAAGTGTGAAGCAGGTGACAAGTGATGCAGACCTGAGCCCTGAGCCCTAGGCTGGCCGAGTTGGGCATCACCCTTGTCTCCTCAGCTCCTTCCTTTTCTTTTGTTTCTAGTGTTGACTCTTACCTTCCACTGGCCAAGGGAGTTCAATGGAGGAGGGAGGGTCTGATTTGCAGTGAGTCCAATCGCATGCTGTAATGACCCCTACTTTGGCTCACATCAGGCTACCTACCACCTGACATAAGCTAGTTCAAAAAATCCCTGCACAGCCAGCATTTGTGAGCTGGTTCAAGAGAGCACAGGCACAGCACGGTTGTGGAGAGGGGCCAGGCTTTTCAGGCACAGTGGCTGTCTGGCCTCTCAACCTGCCATAGCTTCTGTCTGCTCCATTTGCCACTTTCTAATTTCTACTTAAACTTTCCTTCCTCCTTTCCAGGTTGGGGGAAGGGGCAGAGAGAGGCAACTTAACTCTCCTCCTTGTTCTTTTTATTCAGATCTTGTAAATTTTTGATGATGAATATTTATTTGAGATGACCTAATAAGATGAATATCTTAATGAGATACTTAACATTAGATGACCATACCTATCTCACTAAGATGGGATGACAGAACTTATTTATGTATATAAAACCAGATCTGTCCACACCGATGCTTGTGTTTTAAACTGGGAAAATAAAATAATTCAAAATCAAATTACCTTTGGGGAAAAAAAGTTGGAACATGTTCATTTGAGGTCTACCAAGAGACCGGGCTGAGTTGCCTTCAGCCTTCCAGTGAGGGCCAGTTATGGAATGGAAGCAGGCTCTGGGGGACAGGCCATTTGTGATGGCAGCTCTGGCTGCTCTGGCGTTGGTACTCCTTGCTCAGCAATGGGAGGCAGCCCTGCCTCAGCACTTGCTGGTGGCTGCCCAGGCCTTTTTCTGTGCTTTTGGTAAATCAGGTAGCTGCCTTCTTTACTACCCGTGTACTTTTTAAAAATGTGAGATATAATTCTCATACCACAGAATTCACCCTGTGTATAATTTAGTGGTGTTTAGCACTTTCACTGGGTCGCACAGCCATTACCACAAATGCTAGAACATCTCATCATCTCAGAAAAGAAATCCTGTATCTACTTGCAGTCAATCTCTATTTCT